GCATATCACCATTATTATTCACCGTTTATTTATTGAAACTTTAATTTAAACAGGACATAGCCTGTTCCCGAGTTTAGTGCCATAGCAGATGGGTATTGCTTGTGAACCAACCGTGTTTGCTATTTATTTGAGGATTGAGGTGGAAAACAATCATAGTCCACTTTTGGTCGAGATTGAGATGAACAAAGTTCTCTAGTGATGAATACATATTACTTTTGAATAGTACGGAGTAAAATGGAAAAATATTTATAAATTACAAATGTTAAATGAAACAGTGCACTGGGGAAGAACCATCATAGTCCGGGCGCTGTGAAGGAATAACCGTCAGGGTTCGATGACGCTGCTAAACAAAGAAGAAAAACAGGTCGTGTTACTGACGTTATGAAACTTCTGAGAGCCACCACTCATGAGGCAGAGCCAGATTGCGAGTGCTACGCTTTCGTTGTTTTGGGAACGTCAATGAAGCCGAAAGGCGACGCATTTTGGCTGAATTCAATGAACTTGCTAACTATGACGATCAGAATCGGTATTTAGGTGGAGTGGGTACAGGGACACCAAATCTTGCTTCTTATTCCTATCGTATTAGGAATGGCCCTAAAGGAGAATTTCGTGATGTGCAAGTATGTTTCAAAGCATTCTTATCCATTCATGGAATTTCCGCTTTCCGAGTGCAAAGAATTCGAAAATCACTGGCCTCAACTGGCACTGTACCATTAGACGCTAGAGGAAAACACGGAAATAGGCCCCACAAAATTTCTGAAGATACTGTCGTCAAAGTGACAAAATTTATTTGTTCCTTGAAAAGAAGCAAATCGCATTACTCAACATTTTTTACTCAACTTATGTTAACTCAACATAACTAAGTTACATACTTGAAAAAAAATCCCGATAATAAATTATCGTAAGACAATTTTCGAGAAATTTTTAAAACAAAGTTAATATTGCACTCGGTTTTCCTAAGAAAGACACCTGTAGCTACTGTGACACTATAAAAGCGGAAATATCTGCCCTTTCGCAGAAATCAGATGCCAGCAGTGATGAATATAAAACCCAAATCTTGGAGAAATTACAAGAAAAAAACAACGAGAAACAACTTCATCTTGCGAGAAGTGAAAAATTTTATTCTGTGAAAAGAAAATATCGAAAATTGTCGTCAAAACCAATCGATACCGAAGCCATAACCATAGACTTCCAAAAAAATTTACCAAACACCAACTTAATAAAAGTTTTAATGTACATGTATTGGCCGATTCTACCTGTTTTTCTATATTTATGACGAATCGGTAGCAAGAAATGGACTGACGATGTGTACATTTTTTTGTATAAAAAAAAAGAGTGCTACCGGAACATGAGTTTAATTAATGACAAAGCTTATACGGAAACTCCGGATGTTTATAGAGAAGTCATTCGCAACAGCAGAGTGAAACCGAAACCGTTGCAAGTGGTGGACTGTGGGAAAGATATCAAATTGTTGAATTGGACGTAGTATTTCTCCAACAAGCATCCCACGAAATGCCCAATGCCTACGAGACCTATTCGAGTGTTGGAAATCAGAAAAAATAGCCCTTGATTTATCTTTCACAAGGATACCTATTCTGGGTTTTTTTTGCAATCTCGCTGTTTAAATGCAAAGTTAAACGGAACCCGAAAATAAATTTAAGGAAAGCTCATAATATCACAACTCCGGAAGTTACTTCTTCTTCTTTGGGTGCCGTGTCCGTATTCAGACGTTGGCCGTCATCATGTTTACAATTTCCTGAAACTTTTCTCTGTCGGCTGCTGCGCGAAATAATTCTTCTACTGTGAAACCACACCATTGTCTAATATTACGCAGCCATGAAAGTTTCTTTCGACCAATCCATCTCTTTCCTTCCACTTTTCCTTTTATTATAAGGCGAAGTAAATGGTATTTGGGTCCTCTAATTATATGGCCGAAGTATTCTGTTTTTCTCCTCTTTATGGTGTTTATGAGCAGACGTTCTGAGTTGATCATTTGAAGAACATCTTCATTGGAAGTGTGCGAAACCCACGATATCTTTAGGATTCGTCTATAGCACCACATTTCGAATGCTTCTAACTTGTTTAGCATTGTGGTTTTTAACGTCCATGTCTCACAACCATACAATAGGATCGACCACACATAAAATTTCAGGACCTTCTTACGAATGTTCATTGACAGGTTTCTGTTGCATAAAACTGGTTTCCAGGTCATAAAAGCCTTACGTGATATTTCGATCCTGGATATTATCTCTTCATCAGAGTCACAATTTACATTTAACCAGCTGCCAAGGTATTTGAAATGATTTACCCTTTCTATCTCTTCTCCATTAAGAGAAAGCAGACCTTGATCTATATGGATCTTTCCAACTGCCATCCACTTTGTCTTTGAAATGTTGATTTTTAGGCCTCTCCGATAACTTGCTTCACTGACTAGATTTAGTAATGTTTGGAGATCTTGTAAACTTTCTGCAAGAATGGCTGTATCGTCAGTGTATCTAATATTGTTGATTACTTCTCCACCTAGTCTTACTCCCTCTTGCCTGTCATCCAAAGCCTCCCTAAAGATTTCTTCAGAGTACAGATTAAAAAGAGTGGGTGACAAAACACAACCCTGCCGTACTCCACGTTTGATGGGTATTTTTTCAGTGGGACTGTCTCCAATTTGGATAGAGGCTACTTGATTGTAATATAAGTATTTCAGCAGTCCTTATATCATAGTGGTCAAGTCCTGCTGCCCGTAGGCAGTCGAAAAGTGTATTGTGTTGGACTCTGTCGAACGCCTTCTCGAAGTCGATGAAACAAACATAAACATTCTTTCGGAATTCACAACTTTTTTGTAATAGAACGCGCATACAGAATAGTGCCTCTCTAGTTCCTAGACCGTTTCTAAATCCAAATTGCTTATCACCCATCTTACTTTCGCATAGAAGGAATACTCGGTTTTGTATAATTCGTAAGAGTATCTTCAGTGTGTGACTCATCAAACTGATTAGTCTAAAATCGCTGCATTTGGTGGGCCTGCTTTTCTTTGGTAATGTTATAAACAGTGACTCTAACCAATCATCTGGTATTTTTCCTTCGTTGTAAATTTTGTTGAAGAAAGTGGTTAAGCAGGCAATGCTTTCCTCATCCAAAAGTTTAAGTAGTTCGGCAGGGATTTGATCTGGTCCAGGTGCTTTATTGTTTTTGGCTTGCTGTATTGCCTTTTCGACTTCCGAATTCAGTATATTGCGACCTCTGTCCAACTGGTTGTCATAGGCAGTATTTGGAGCATTTTCCCTAGAAGCATCGTCAAAAAGGTCAGTGATGTATCTCTCCCATTCTTTGCACTGTTGTTCGTGATCACAAATTTTTCCGTCCGCGCTTTTAAGTATGTGAGCATTTTTCTGTTTTCTAATTCCGGCAGTATATTTAAGTTTCTTATGCAGGTTGAAGCTGTCATGCTTTTTTTGGAGGTCTTCTATTTCTTTACATAAATTCTCAAGCCAGGATTCTTTGGCTTGCTTAATTTTTCTTTTTATGCGTTTATTAATTTCACGATATTCGATAATATTTCTATTTTTGTGTTGCCGTCGAACTTCCATCAGATCTAGAATTTCTTGTGTCATCCACTCATTTTTTGCCAACATGGTAGGTGTTTTTAAAGACTCTTGTACGTTCTCTAAAATCGAGTTTTGAATGGCATACCAGCATTCGTTAATGGTTCTGTTTTCGTTTGGTATATTTGATATTCTGTGTATTTTACTATTTATTTGCTGTGTTATGTGTTCGCGCGTTTGAGGGTTTTTCAGGGGGTCGAGATATATCTTACAAGGCTTAGTTGGCTTTGTTAATTTCTTTAATTTAATTTGTATTTTGGAGCAGAGTAAATTGTGATTTGAGTTTATGTCAGCGCCGGGGTAAGTTTTTACGTCTTTAATATTGTTTCGAAATCGGTGGTTTATTAGGATGTAGTCTATTTGATTCCGTACTGTTCTGCCTTGATATCCATCTTGAGGGGATTTCCACGTGTAAAGACGCCTTTCTGGAAGTTGAAACCAGGTATTTGTAATGGCGAAGTCATTTTCTTGGCAGAATTCTATTAGCCGTTCACCTCTTTGATTTCTCTCTCCCAAGCCAAACTTTCCGGTGATGCCCTGCGTCATCTTCTCAAAGCCACAATCATCCCGAAGCTTTGTACAACTACCCACTTCCGGTCAAAGCTGCTAAGTTACAAGATCTTCTCGACTTAACCAAATATTTCGAAAGTTTTACACTGATTTACAAGGTACTGAACAGAAGGGAAATTCGGAGGAAGAAACATTTTGTGACGCAGAAGCTTGAAGGTATTGGGGAAGAATGTTCATGGTCCATGCCGACACACTCAATTTTTTGTGTGATTTTTCGCAAATAAAATATTTTTTTGTCTTCTCTTGATTTTTCCTCTGTAAACAGGTCAACGTACCGCTGAAAAAATTTACCAATTTATACGGTTGAGTTAAAACAATGTGTTTTAATTTTAAATATTAAATTTCGATTTCCATGAAAACTCTTTTTGTGAACTGTTTTTGTGGAGTAGTTTTCCCCCTGACTCCTCAATTGTTTCTTCAAACTTTGCCATAGATGTAAAAAAAATTTGCTTATATAATTAGCAGTGAATAATAAATACTGCTTATATTGTTTTTTAAGAATTTTCATGCTGTGCAAAGCGCAGTGAAGCGATAAATCAATTTTAGTTACAACTGCGTAAGTAACTACCTATTATAGATTTATGCATTTTTGACACGTTTTTATTTTTGTTTTCAAATAAACTACAAAACTTCAAGCCAAGTGCTGTGTAAACAATCCAAATAGTTTTTATACGGTAAGTAAACAATAGAATTACTGAAATTTAAACATGCCACTCAACTCTTTATCATGTAATTGACGGTAATAAACGTTTAAATTACTTTCCCTCCACATCGGCTTCTTCGCACACTATCTTACAGTCGTACCGTTTTTATCTTTGAGTATCTAAGAATTTATAAGAACCCACATGTACGTAATCTGTGAACGGATTTGATTACTTTTATTGAAGTGTTTGAGATAGGAATGCAAAAGCGACAGTCGAAATCAAAATTGTAACCTTGTTCGACGATCCATTTTCGTGTCCAAATTATGTCATTTAGATGTTAGTAGCATGTCTGGTGAGTTTATTAGACACTTTTTTATATAATTGTTCCGGGTGTTGATGCGATATGTAGCCAAAAACATTTTAATGAGTGAAATGTTGAACTTTAGTTTTGCATGAAATGAGTATGAAATCAAATTTAAGCACTTTGCATTATATACTGATTAAAAATTCAAAAATGGAAAAAAAACTAATAGAAAACCGAATGTGACTTTTAATCAGCTGCATAGATATTCATACTTTTTATACAGGGTATCCAGAAACTCTCCTGACCAAACGAAAACCGCAGATTCCTCAGATAATTTTAAGACGATTTAACCCAATTCATCTAGTCCGAAAATGCTTCCTAAGGGAGCTAGAGTTCTTTGAAGATGGCGTCTTATAAGTAGTTTTGTTTTAATAACTCCAGAACGCTTCTATTTAGAAAAATAAAAACTGGTGCCATTATTTATCCTACAGAGTTGAATCAAATCAATTAATTGCGAATTTCAAGTACCGTCATAGGCGTCAGTTTTGGGTACGTCAACGGGTATTTTAGCGTAGGTATAACTTTTTTATATGCAAGTGTTAAACATTTGTGATACTAGATTATTAAATTTTCAGATATTCTAATACTAAAAGATACAGATACTTTAAGTCGATAGGATACACCGTTTTCGAGAAAAATCGAGATTTGAAAATTTTTTTTTTCTCGTCATGAAAGTTAAATTAATATTTTTTGCATTAGTAGCCTTTGAACTGTCAACAGAACTATAACCTACGTTTCTAATTGTCAAAGTTGTTGTCCATACTGTGGTCAAACTCTTGTCCGTTTGTGACGTTCCTCTTTTAGTTTTTACTTTGTGACATTCAAACACAATAATTTTAATTCAACAAAAATGGTTTTTACTAATAAGTCTAAGTCTAATAAGGCTGATATATTTTTCTTATGGTGCCTATCCGTTACAGATGTTGGACATTAACATGTGAGAATATCTATAAAAGAACGGAGAATTCGTAGCATTTTAGTAAACGAAGTTTTATTTCCAATTTTATATCGTGGCTGTTAAAGATTTTTTCATTTTGACGAAAGCTGATCTTGCTCTCTGGGTCCTCATCTTAATTTCCGTCGATTGGCTCCACTGTTCATTTAAGTTTGCACAAAGATAACAAAAGTTGGTGATTTGTGTTATAGGTTGTTGGTTAACTAGTAATTGACCAGGTGGTATCCTATTTTTGCTTATAAATATGTATTTGGTTTTTTTTGATGTTAAAATCAAGCCCAAACCTGCTACTTACTTCTGTCACCCTGGAGACAAGTGTCTGCAGACCTTCAAGACTGTCTGCAAAATTGACAGTATCATCAGCGTACCTTATGTTGTTCAATCGTTCTCCGTTTATCAGTATTCCCCGTCTATGTCCGTTAGTGCTAAGTTCATAATGTGCTCTGAATATGTAGTGAACATAATGGGGACAATATGATCCCTGTCGCACACCTCTTTTTATCTTTATGTCGTCTGTTAACTGATCCCCAACTCTAACAGCTGCAGTTTGTTTGTAATAGATATTGTTTATTATACGGCGATCTCTACTGTGTAGACCAATTGAATTTAATAGTCTCATTAGTTCGTCATGTTTTATTCTATCGAACGCTTTCTGGTAATCAACAAAAACACACACACACACACACACACACACACACACACACACAATATATATATATATATATATATATATATATATATATATAATGAACTAGAAGTATTTGCTGACAACAAGGAAGTAAATTTTCAATATTGGGTTTGCAGCAATAAAAATGATACGTGTACTCTTTTAAATTTTTATTCCGAGCTTTCGGACATGGTTATGTCCTTCATCAGGGAGCTACAAATGTGATTAATAGTTTGTTACAAGTTTGTATAATTAATTAAGAATTCGCTACTTACAAACTTAATGAGGTTGGATCATCAATGATTTTCTACAATGTCGATAAAACTTATCACAGTCAGTCATATTTTTACATAAAACTTATTCCTATATTTAAAATTTTTCTACCAAGTAACCAAAAATAAAATTGATTAATTTATTAATGTTTTGCATTCTGAGAAAGATTTCCGAAGTAGAAATCGAAACATCAAAAATAAACTTATTATAAACTTAAATTGTGGCTTATTCCCCAAAATATAGGAAATGACAAGTACTTCTGTTTTACATTCAAACTTAACTTAAATACAACTAAAAAAATAAAAAAAAAATTGTTTTTAAACAAATTAGGTGGTTTATTTGACAATTTATTTATTAAAATAATGCATATTCGTAATGTACGCAAAAAGTACATACAAGTTCAAAAAGAAACGTTGAACTACATGAAAAAGGAACAGAACAGAGATACAGTTAACAGCGCCTTCCCCCTCCCTTCAGCTCCCGAGAGTTTAAAGCCAACGGATTTTACATACATTTTGAAGCTTTGTGGAGGATTCGATTAAAGGGCAATCATTTTAAAACTTAGTAGTTTAAAACTATAATGTATATTCTTTCAAATAGCGCTAATTAGATTGCTTAATTGTTATAAAACAAAGGTGCTATGAATTAAACAAAAAAAGAGGCTAACTTTGTAAAAATTATTTTAGGACAAACTTTTTTTTATTTAAATTTGTGAAAAAATTCAAGCTTTTTAAATATGTAAAAATAATATTTTTACAGTCAATGGTTTAAAAAGTTATTCTAATTGTTTATAAGCAAAAAATCGACATGTTTTTGCAAAATTATTTTGCAATATTTAAAATTAATTTTTTAAATTTTTTTTTAATGTAAATAATAAAACAAGTCTTCTTCTACCAGAAACAACTCTTACAATTTTTAAAACTTTATAAATTTCTTACTTATATTGTTGCAAAAAATGTAATTTGGGATAAACAAATAAAATAACTTTTAAACTATTGGCGCGATCACTTTGAAATTTTAACCCTATTTTAAGCACTACAAGACACATCATTCCATGAAATATAAATATTATACGTTTATTTTCAAAAAAGTTATTAACATTTATATAAAACCGAAATTTTTGACTTATTTTGCAACTTTCTAAGCAACAAATAAGGATAGAAACATTTTGAAAACGCCATTTTGAAGGTTTTTGTATAACTTATAAGTTTCCTCTCTTCTAAAATTTGTTTTAAATTGCTTCACTTTTTGCTGATAGCCGAAAAAAGCAAAAATTTTCCGTTTTTTGAACTTAATTTGTTAATAACTAATTTAGTCCAAAAATCGACTGCAGGAAACATATAGGTTTTTATTACAGAGGTCCACACTACTCAAAACAACTGTCGTTTGCCTGGCCGGACGAGTGTCAAAAACAGGGTACTTTTTTTGCTTATTTCCCTGGCCTACTAGGTGAATTGGGTTAAATTGTCTTAAAAATTTTCTGAGAAATCTGGGATCTTCATTTGTCAGGAGAGTTTCTAGACAGCCTGTATAAATGAAATATTTAATTAAAAGAAAACCTAAGAAAGTTTATACAATAGTAGAAACTTTTTTTTAATTTCCGTTAGTCGTATACGAGGATTGTCGATATTTGCCCAGGAAAATAAGAATTTATCGAGATGGCCGCTATAACAAAATCTTAAAATTCGGTTCTATATGGATACAATAACAAAAGATGTGCCAATAATATTAAAATATTAACTATTTAAATGGAAAATAGATAGTTTTTAAAATATCTGTGTGTAAGGTAAAATTTTTTTGTGCATATGAAAAATTGTGTGCAAATGATTTTGTAAGTTCAGTTTTCCATTCATCTAATAAATAGCATGTTTGGCAAGAAGTAAAACCTAGTTTATTTGATTTTTTATTTCCAAAACAATAAATAAACCAATAAATACTATTTTTAGAAATAATTTAATAGGATAATTTTATAAAATCTATTATAAATAAATTATTTACGAGATTTATTAAAGAAATAAATATTAATCATAAATATTTATTTTTTACTATAAAAATTACCTCAAATATTATTAGAAAACATAAAAAATTGAAAAAAAAAATGTTTAAACAAATTAGATAGTTTGTTTAACAATTTATTTAGTTAAATAATGCATATTCTCAATTTACACTAAAAGTACATACAAATTTAAAAAACGTCGAAATCCATAGACAAGAACCAGAGAAATTACTATTTTAATGGGAATAAGTCACAATTGAAGGTTAAAAAAAGTTGTATTGACGTTTCAATTTCCACTTCAGAAATCGTAATAAATTAAACAAATTTTGTTTTCTGTTACTTGGTGAAAAATTCTTCCAATAATTTAATTTTATGTGACTCATTTATATTGACTAACTTGAGAATATGCGTCAGAAAAAATCATAGCATGTATAGACCAAATACTTACCATGTCGGGATAATATTATGAGATTTTCTCCTCATGATTTACTAAGGAATCACTAACAGGAGAATTTTACTGTCATCATAGCATGTGGTTGTTTTTTTAAAGGCAAATTGCAGGCTATGATTTTTTTTGACGGATATTCTCAAGTTAAAGTTGATTTGATGTAATCGAATGAACTATCTTACAATAAAGTCGTCCCAGGAACGCAACTCAGCAATATTGGCAATATCATTCTAAAGTAGTCTACTTTCAAATGTATAATGTATGTATGAATTGACAATATAAATAAGTCAGATAAAATTAAATTATTAGAAGAATTTTTCACAAAGTAACAAAAAACAAATCTTGTTTAATTTATCAATGCTTGTATTTTGAGTAGATACGATTTCCGAAGTGGAAATTGAAACGTCAATAAACTTACTTTAACCTTTAATTGTGGCTTATTTCCATTTGAATAGTAAATTACTTTAAAATGCCACAAGAAAATAGCTTCAGAGCAATATTAAGAAGCAGAGATACAGTTAATAACTTCTTCTTCCTCCATCGCTACCGCGAGTTTCAAAACTTGCTGATTTTTGAGGCCCACATTTTGAATCTTTGTGGACGATTCCGTTAAAAGGCAATCTTTTTCGAATTTGGCACATTAAAACTA